TTAACTGAATCTAAATTTTAATTTTTCTAAAGTTAATAATGCATGTTGTAGCTAAATATAAAAGACCAATTGCATAGTATGGATTGTATGACTAACCTTTTTCATATGATAGTGGGTCATAAATGAGTAAATTGCTTCACGTGTTAAGAAACTCGTTCTATGGTACTCATTTGGAAGATACAAAGTTTCATAGTTTGAAAATTATGTTTCATCGGAAGAATTCAATGAGTTTTTGGACACAAGATTTTTTCCTTTAAGATTTCATTTGGCGATTTCAATGCTTTCGGAAACTTGCACGATCGGAATCAATACATGATCGTTTTCCGGGTTGGAACCGTGTAAATTGAGATTTTGGGCTCAATGTTTCGCACACTTTCGTAAGTGGCATCTTCAGGAGCAGGGTTAAGAATGAGGAAATACTGGGTTACCGTGCTCTTTTGCCTTATTCTTCAATTCCTTGGATTAGTTCAGATTCTTCCCAGATCGCCCCAAAATTTTTATTTTACATTTTATATTTCCCGTTCTTGGTTTACGAGGTTTCAAGGAATCTGAAACAGCGTTCCCTATACTTCCACCCTGTTTACGGATGGTTTTATATGTAAGTGATATGAGTGAGAGGATTCTCGTTTAACAGCTTCTTTAGGACATGCGTAGTGTTTAAACACTGCATAATTTTAATATACGACAGGGTTCTACCAATAACGTATAGTCCCCACACTGAAGCCGGTTTTATGCTTTCTGAAGATCCTGAAGTCAACAGCGACAGCTCTGAATTTGGGGAAATCAGCCCTTATGGTGAAGGTATGAGTCACTAATGGCACGCCCCCATCTCTCATTGCATCTCCAGTGAACCAATACCATGCCCTTTCAACCCAGCATGGGTCGGTCTTTTTGCTGTAGTTACCACTTGAGGTCGCGATTTGGCATCCATCCTCAGGAGCCAGTTTACGAGGTTAATCTTTCTCCGTGGGTCGTCCTACCAATATGTTTCCAAATAACCCTTACTGTGCTTCTTGATCCGACCCAACGTGGGTCTATTTGTTGTCACCACCTGGGGTACACAAGAACTTAATCGACCAATACCATCTTGGAGAGGAATGACTTGTTCATTTAGCAATGAGAGACAATGAACGCATCATTTCTTAAGGACCAGCAGAAAGGCGCACAGTTGACAAGGTAATGCTTGACCTGACAGATTGAGGGTGGTTATCTACTGCTAACGTAATATGATCTGACGTCTTCGGGACCGGAAAACCGAGATCGTTAAACGTCCTCCGTCGGAGACGTGAGAGATACGTTATAATCCTATCTGGTACAGCTACCAGTAGGGCGTTACTCCATAGTGTCAATGATGCAAAAACAGCCTCTCGTGCTCTATGTCAACTCGTACCTTCGTGTGGTATAGAACAAACTGGTTGACCTCACCTTCTAAGGGTGGAACGAGCCAAAAAGGGATGTCCTTAAGGCTCGGGGAGTCGCAAGTGCCCCCGAGCAGGGATTTCAACTCTTTATGGCACGGAAAACCCGTTGCCGCAGGTGCCCTGTCTACCTCGGAAGAAAAGGAGACAACGGCAAAGGTTTACTAGCATCTACTTGTTCAACGTGCCTCTTCGACAGGAAAAACCTGGAATCTCTGGGTCAGAGGATTCAAGGGGACAGTGAAAAGCTTAAGTATACTAGCCTTAGTTTCAAAGATGCTTGAACGCCTAACGGCTAGATGCTTCACGATGCTAAGGTAATAAATCAACCCTTAGCTGGTTTCGGAAGAGCCAGACCCCATTGTTCCACCTGTCCTAGTTCACGATTTTTTTACGAAAATTGTCCCTGTGTGGAAAACTGGATTCTGTGGATACCGGGAACACATAGCCGGTCTCAAACGGAGTAAATGCTAAGATAAGACTAATATTGGCAAATGACCTACTCTCTAAAAATTGAATGGTAGAAGGTATATCATTTAGCAAAATCAGTCTTATCTTGGCAAGTATTGGCCCCACCCTCTCTTTTCTTAAAGAGTATCTCATTTGCAAAAATCAGTCTTATCTTATCAGATACTAGCCCCGCCCGCCCACCCTCTCTTTTCTTAGAAGTTATGTCATTTGCCAAAATCAGTCTCATCTGAGCAGGTACTAGCCCCGCCCACTCGCCCTCTCTTTTTTATAGGGTATGTCATTTGCCAAAATCAATTTTATCTGATGACGAATGACATGCCTTCTAAGAAAATAGAAAGTGGCTGGACGGAGCTAGTACCTGCTAAGAAAGACTGATTTTGGCCAATGAGATCCCTCTAAGAAAAGAGAGGCTGGGTGGGTGGGGCTAGTACCTGCTAAGATAAGACTGATATTGGCAAATACCTTCTCTCTAAAAAAATGAAGGGTAGAGGATATATTATTTGGCAAAATCAGTGTTATCTTGGGAAGTATTGGCCCCGCCCACCGACCCTTTATTTTCTTCAAAGATATGCCTTTTCCGACTCCTAGGGAGGTCACTGCTTACCAACCGTGTTATACCTTACCTTCAGAACGTCACTTAACGAACCAATAACACTGTCTCTGGGTTCCAACTGACTATTGATCTGTGGAAATTAGTGACCATTAACGACGAAAAGGTATGGGTTTGCATTGTACTGCTTTAAGTCTTTAGTGGTGTCTTAAAGTGGACATCACCTAGGGTCAGTGGAAAAGTACATCGCTGATAGAATGATACCTGCCTGGAAAACACCAAGTGGCGTAGATTAGTCCAATAGTGTACCCGGATACAATTCTATCGATTATATCCTGTGAAAAATTCGAGATAACAAGAAACTGTCATTTGTACCAGGGTTTAAATTTTAAATCTGTATTTGGATCTCAGCTCCAATCAAAAAATAGAGAGCAAAGGTTGCAGATAGTGTTGCCAAAATTGGACTTCCGTCAGCCACACAGACAATGCAGACTCTGGCTTCTGCAATATTAGCAGTTAATAAAGTGACATAACACCCGAGAAAGTGTCCCTAGACTGGAAAGTTAAAGTCCTTGTGTTTTCAAGAATACCAGCTTATCCAATCTCTTTGAATGAGTTGACCTGACCTGGCCTATCTCCTATCCCCCTCCTCCAACCGCATTAATATTTCTTCAGGGGGGGGGGGTGAACGCTAGAACTGCATAGAAGAAAAAGAAAACTTCAAATCACGTCACTCAGGATCTGAGTATTTCCATTTTCCATATTTTGTCTTGTCATTCTTCTTCCTATTTGACCTTGACTATCTTTGTGATAAATTTGTAAATTCCATTCCACTGTTCTTCATTTCCTAGCATGAGGTCTATGACGTTCCTGGTATAAATTTCAACCCCAATTTCTGTTTGGATGTTTCTTCTTTCCTCCTCCCACCTAGGTTTACCCGATTCTTTTGGTGTAGCTCCCGAAGCTCCCGTGATCCGTCAAAAATTGCGTAATATGGAAATTCAGTTTTTTGTGTTTGCGTCCCACCCATTTTTTGATGTTGGTGATCAATATGTTGGTCCAGGCTCTTGGTCTCTATTCGGAATTCCCCATTTCATCTGCCATCTTCTTTTCTGTTGCCTGTTCTGTTTCTGTGATCTGTTCTTTCTTAGACCTTTGGTATAGGAGTTCCCTCTCCTGTGCCAGAAGGTCTAGGGGAGGCGCAGAAGCTATAACCTGAAGTGCCTCTGTAGATTCAGTTTGCCACCCCATTCAACAGGATCTTTCTACCTCTATCCGTTGGTCCTGCAACATTTGGCGTTAATTTACCCAGGGCGACAATAGACTTCTCCTTGTCGCGTCCTTACTTGGCCTAATTTCGGTATTCCTGATGTTAAATCTAACACTGTCCCTTTTCCTAGGACCGTATAATATAAGTGCCTTCTCGAGTTACTATGTATTCCAGCCTACTCTGGCTTTCTGCCATAACAATCAGTACCCGATCACCCGCAAAAACTAACTGGGTCATTCCAGGGATATTGGGCTTTAGTAGATCGTCATAGAAGACGATCCAAAGCAACGGACCAAGGACTAAGCCCTGTGCTATCTCGGGCCTTATGTCCAACTCAATGTTTTTAGTGCCGATCTTCCTCCCTTCGAACTAACTCTGTATGAAGTTATATTTTTTGTCTTTGACCCCTTTATAACTTCACTCTACGGAACCGCGTTGAACGCGTTCTTCACGTTTAACGTAAACGGAATAGAATATGTCCTAAAAGTTTGCTCATACAATTTAATGACCTGACCTGACCTGACCCGACCCGACCCGACCCGACCTGAACTGACCTGAACTAGCTATTAAAAAATTTCCTTCTGATTTACGAAACTGGGAAGTTAATGCCCTTGTGTTTTTCAAGAATACCAACTTATTCAAACTTTTTTAGCTTTTTTCAACTAATTTTTGTTTTTCTTTATCTCTTTATCATTGAAACGTGACTGTGCCCTTTAGTTTTAGAGAGCAATCATTAATAATTTTATTTTTTAAGGGTATAAGTTAAAACTAGGTTATACTTTTCTTCTCCAGTATTAAAATAAAAAAATGGTAGAGGTATTGCAAAGTAGCTTACCCGAGTGGTAGTCTTGTTTGAGCTTGTAGATTGGAACGGAAGTAAAATTTTAGTGAAAATTAAAATATAGCTTTAACGATACTGTCTTAAGTCTAGTATCTCAGTTGGAACAGTTACACACAGGTAATGTCGAGGCCTTAAATTTCATCCGGTGGTGACAATTTGTCTTTAAATTTAAAAATAATGCATCTAATAGAAAAAGTATATTTACATAAATGTTTTGATGTCGCACGCTTCTAATTCCTCGATTTTTCAACACCTTACTTTAGAACCTAGATACTTTCGTAAATTGGTGACAGTAGTTGCACATAATAGCAAAGGGCGAAAATTCTAAAACAGTTTCACTTAATATGACTATAACACGCAGTTTTGGAATTTTTGTTTCTTGGAAATAAATAAAATGAAATCGAATTAAAGCATATTTACCACAACTGTTCACAATTCATTTTGGATCAGGTCGCGTGGATAAAAGCGGACACCAAGGCAATATTAGCCATCCATGAGCACGTTATTACCAACAACGCACGATTATCCGTAACACACAACGATTTCAACACATGGACGTTAAATATACGGAACGTTAAAAGAGAAGACCGGGGTCAGTATATGTGCCAAGTAAACACTGATCCGATGAAAATGCAGGTGAGTATCTGTCGTTCTTTTATTACATATGGTTTGTTTATGTTATTTTGTCATCACAATTGCGTATGTAGTTCTAAAACAGATTTCATTTTGTATTTGGTGTGTGTGTTTTTTCGTAATACAACACCAGAGCTGCGATTGTGTCTAAAACCTGACGAGTAGGGGCATTGTTAGCCGACATTTAAATGAATCCTCGCGTATTTTTTGTTAGAGGCTCACTTTAGTTTTTTTTTTAAGTATACAATTTGTTTTATCCCATATTACCTGTTTTTATCATGCATCGCTTTAAGGCACTCCAAATAGCTCACATCATTGTTTCATAAAAATTATTTAGCTTGAAAATGAAAATGGAAACATTTTTGTTAAATTTAAATTAATGGTTCAATCTGGATAGTTTAAACTTAAATCAACAATTTCAAAAACGAAAACTATATTGTAGACATCCCAGCTAGCTTTAATCGCATACTCATTGCACTGTATAACAATATATGTAATCATTAATTAAGGCTCAAATTCAAGTTACACTTGTAACAACGGCGAATATAAAAATAAGTAGAAACAAGTCGACACAAATCGATGTATTTATATAATACTGAACTTTAGGAACGTTCAAAATCAATATTGACACTTGTTGTTAATATAATATATAATACTACAACAATAAATTTGTTAGTTGTACAACAAATTCGACCATGTTTTTAAATGCATTTTAACTGTTTCATATTATGTCGCTCATTAACGCGCATTCTTCATTTAATGCCAACATTATTACAGAAAAGTATAAGCAGACATTTTCTAATTTGTAAGATTTCATCCAAAGCACACATGCATGTAGCTAATTACTGTATCTCAAAGGCTTATAAAGATGATGCTCGCAAAGCTGCATGATGATTAGCGGAGTAATCTGGACAGAATAATGCATTAGATTTGTTCTAAAGAGCATCTGTAGTGTGTCTACCGACTTCGTGCGCCTTTATACATGTCAAATAAATATCTGGAAAAATTTCAAGTTTTAATCCCTGAAAACTTCATTTGGATCAGATTTAAAACTATTTACTATTCCGAGCCATTCCTCATTTGGTTGAAGAATTTTATCACTAAGAATAATTTAAGTTTGTGGTTGTGATAGTTCGAAAGAAGTATACGAAACTTCTTGAATTAAGTAACACGGAAAATAATTGTTTGAAATGAGTAGAATTACGAATAGTGTGTAGTGGACGGTGTTTACGCATTGAAACAGATGTAGTCTTAATTTTAGCGAATTATTCCCAATCGACAGGTAATGACTCTCACAGCTACATAGTGGTTAAAAATTTCAAATAACAATTTACTAGTCGATGAGCTTCGAAAATCAACGCGAATGCAGAATTTTGTTGCGTATAATGAAACAAAATATACAAACAAATATGTTGTTGGTATTATATTTGTTTGCAGATTTATTAACGGTTGTGATTTTATCTGTTTATTTAATACGATTTATTGAATTAAACGCGATTAGCGCTTAACGTAGGTGTAATTATATTTAATATCATCCCACATTAGTAGTTTTGTTAAAAACGAACAGTCATCAAGCTATTGTAATTGGAGAAATGTCTGTGGGTGAAAAATTTGCCGAATATCTGCCAGTTAACTGGAAGAATATCGGAAGAATTCCACTTACGGTCAAACTGTCCGTCAATCAGTTTGATCGGATAATCTGATCGATGTGCCGAAATTGCTTTAAATGTCGGTTAATGGTTTAAAATCAGTTAATTGAAAAAGAATATATATCACAAGCTCGTGAAATCTGAGCGACGGCTGCCAGTTTTTTAATGATATAGAAAGTTTTACACAAATTAATTACACAATAGTTATTAAAGGTTTTATGTTGTTCTGGAGGATAGAGATAAAACCTCTACAAGAACTTTGTCACTTCAGTTTGTCAATATTAATAAATGATTCCGAGTGGAAAATACAATTAAAATTGAAACAAATGCAAATATTATTTGAGAAAACGACATCAAAAATAAAGTGGAGATTGATAATGTTTAAGGCGTGACTTTATGAACGTGGAAGGTTTTATAATTTACACATATGAATATGCGCAGATATTTTCATAACTTACACATAACGAAATGTCTCGAAACGGATAGGAGTTTGTTACTGGTTTAGATACAGTTGCACTAAACGTTTATGAGCTTCATCAAACTTTTATTGTACTAGTTTTAAAACTTTATTAAATAGTGCGAGTATTTTGTATAAATTAAGAACATATGACGAAACATCCACTGCTTTTAGTTAAAAACACAACAAAACGTTAATACTTAAATGTAACCCGAATTTGGGGTTTTTAACTATATTTCTTTGCGCTGGATGAAAATTAGTCATGCTATGCAACGTATTGTATTGTAGTTTATAATAAATATTAAAAGATAAAGACTTGTAAGTAATTATCGTTTGTTTTTCAAACACATATTTTTAGCTGTTAGTAATGTTACAGTGCGGAGGTGCCCGACGAATGCCAGTGTCAGTTCTGGCAGCACAAAAACTGTCAACATGAAGCTACATAAACGCAGCTTAGCTGTAAATTGATTTACAGAAGTTTATAGAGTCCGTTAATAGAGCAGTACGTTTTGCCGGAAAGTTAGAGAAACTGTTTAAAAACGTTGATGGAAAATTCTTTATTTTTTGCGTGTTTTATATATCCGAAGTTTGGTTTGAATTTTGTGATCGGCGTTGTAGGATGCGCTTCCTTATAAGATCCAGACAAATTGTAGTTGCTTAGGAGAGGACTTCAGGGACTGTTTGAGAATTTTCCATCCAAATCCTGTCAACAAGTTTTGTGCCTCGTGTGAAATGTGAGCTTCCGTATTGTCCTACAGCTTTCCACATTAAAATTTCTTTGCATTATTAGAGCCATTCCGCACAATTTACTACCACTTATTTATGTGAATATTCTGCAAACCATGCGGTCTTTTGATGAAGAATTTTGTTAAATTAACCAGTCAGAGTTGGTGTTGCAGTAGTGTTTACACCAGTTTCTTATTAAATGAAAACGTTTTCTAGTCTGGACAGGCACACTCAACTTTATCTATAATTTATTTACATCCGGAAAAAGTGGAAAGATTACGGAGATAAAACCCACAGGGTGCTTTACAATTGAAACAAAAATTTATTATAGCTAAGAAATAACCAAAGGCAAAGTTTAAGATTATTTACTTCAACGTTTCATATAAACGGTGCTCGGAACGCTATTTTTTTTTATTAAATTTTAGTACAGCAACAAAGACACCTTGTTTGCTCTTGTGGTAGCATTTATTGCAAATAAGTAAGATTAAATTAATTTATAATTAAAATTAGGACACAAGTTGTCTCGGCGAATTGTTCTGTAAGCCACACTCCCTCTATTTTCTTAGAGGGTATGTCATTTGTCAAAATCAGTCACATCTTAGCAAATACAAGCTGACCTTAAGTCAGTCTGTGGATATAGTAGAGCAATTATATAAACGACTGGAAGATACCCCAGAGTCGTTATATAGTGGGGGTCCTAGCTGAAGAAATCTAGGCTAGAAACCCCACTATTTTATGTAAACTCAAAAAACTGTCAGGTGTGGGATTCGAATCCACGCTCCCTTTCGAGAATCTACACTTTTATTTATAAATCTGTATTTTCCTATCTGAGCTAGGAACCCTACTATTTTTATAGAGCGTTTGTCATTGTCTTGATCTTGTTGGGTCGGGGTCGGGTTCGGTAGTGTCGGTCATTGACCTTTTCAACGTTTGTCATCACTTTCTGCTCGGTCAGCTACAATTGGCTGTATTCTATATTTCCTCAATAAATAACAACATTAAAATGTGATTTATTTCAACTCAAAAGAATGTCAGGTGTGGGATTCGAACCCACGCTCCGTTTCGAGAATCAAATCTTAAATCTAACGTCCTATACAGCTGGGCCAAGTTGACTAAGGGGTCATTGAACGCTCCGGTCAACAACAGACACGTGCTGATCCAAAAAGGGCAATGACCGCTCTGCACTACACTACCCGAACCCCACCGAACAAGGGGTCGGGTCAACCGAGGACAAGACGATGATAAACGCTTGGTAAAAAGTAGTGGGGCTCCCAGCTCAGATTTCCTGTTTTGCCATTTTTCACACTATAGCTTATTTCTCCCTGTAATCGACATTTCTCTAAATAATATGCACATTTAAAATACATCGCAACAAATACTCATCTATTATATTGATCACAATGAGATTTAAATTCTATCACGTTCAGATGTAAAAAACGTACTCAGCACAAATGGGTTTAATTTAAAGTTCATACGTTAATTCCGATATTCTGTGATTTTTATTTCATGAGGAAAACTCGATAAGAATAAATTGTGCATACGTGGTAGCCTCGCATTTCGTTACATAAAATGAAATATGGCGCCAATAGCGATTTGACATTTAGATTAATTGGCATGTACTAGTTACCAAAGACACGTAACGCATGAACATTTGCAAGGTTTATACTGTGTAAACCTGCGTGTTTATTTAAACAAACTGTTAGATATTACGCCAACGTTAAAATTCATCCCGGCATCCTGTACACATAAAGAGACGATTTGAACTGTCCCAATGAAAATTTAATGGTAACATTACAGTATTGTTAACGTGAAAACGTAGTGTGCGCCCATTTAATGAATAGCCGCTGGAGTGACAACTCGGTAAAAGATGTATGTCGGCTTTTCGCTATGCAATCTGAATATGGCTGCAGAGCAATAAATAAGGACGCCACCATAATATAGTGGATGGAGAGACATTTGCAGCGCTTAAACAATTACTTTTTAAGTCGCGCTACTTCCTAGCGAAGCAATAAACGTTCTGTAATTGCCTGTCTTTGCAGACTGCCTATCTGGAAGTGGTAATTCCTCCGGACATTATTTATGAAGAAACGTCGGGAGATATGATGGTACCGGAAGGTGGTTCCGCCAAGTTGATATGCAAGGCTCGAGGTTATCCTAAACCGCGTATCGTGTGGAGACGGGAGGACGGCGCCACCATCGTGGCGAGGGGCACCGGCGGCAGCAGGGCGGAAAGACTCACTTCCGTCGAAGGAGAAATGCTCAGCTTGACCAAGGTCACGAGGTCGGAAATGGGGGCCTATTTGTGCATCGCCGCCAACGGGGTGCCGCCGTCTGTCAGCAAGAGGATGATGCTGCACGTGCACTGTGAGTACACCCCAAACGATAACACGGGATTGGCGCCTACTATGGGAGCGGTTGCTCGGGCACCCCACTCAAAACGGCCGAGAAAGTAATAACACAGACGGCTATTGCCCGGACTAGGCTCGTCTAAAATAATTGATTCGTGATGAAATTACTTTGAGTTTTTAAAAAACTGATGAGAAATAATGTTTATACGCACTATGTAAAAACGTTAACAAGTCAGGCGAATTTTTAATTTCGGGTGTACTCAGCCATGCATCTTTCGTTTTCTTTTTATTAGCTATTTTTACGAAACTTTTATTACAGAAATGTAGAAATGCTTCATGCAAATAATTAAACTGGGCTTCACTCGTTGATTACATTTATGCGTAATTGCAATTGACAAATATATTATCTAGACACGAATTAGCAGCGTAATTATCTGAATGTTGTAGGAATGTGTTCGTAGATGCAGATTGGTATGAAACAACCAAGTTTAGAAAAACGGGAGAATAAGTTTCCCGTTTCCGACTGTCTGTCTGTCTGTCTGTCTGCCGGATTTTTATTACACGGATAATCTTCCATTTTGCAATTTAACTTTGAAGCTGCAAACCGAATGCTCTGAAGCGGAATTTGTAGGACTATACTTTAAGGACCAGGGAAGTTCTGTCGAAATAACTTTCGACCAATTTTTTCGACTGTATTTGTGTTTTTAATATTATAAATGTTGTATTATAAATTGCATTATATATGTAACATGTTCGGAATTCTTTATTTGTTTTCGGTTCGATATCCGCCTTGACTATGTAACAAAAATAATGTAATTAAACGGGACTGAGAGGTGGAAAACAGTGGTTGTCTTTCAGTGAGATCCAGCCTTTAAGCTCATCTTGTAAATGCGTCACGCTACATAGTTCAAGTTCAGCAACAAATTCGAAGTGATATCGGCTGCAATACTGTTACTTAACCCACTTGTACATAGAGGCGAGTTTCAGATGAATCAGGGAACTTAATTTCATGCGAATTTTATTATACATATACAGCCGTTTCAGATACAATTTTGAATAATTGAATTTCTCGAAAAATAAGGATCAGTTAAATAAAACAAGCTTTTATTGCAATTTATTTCGTTCTCCATGCGAAGCAGACAATTCAACTTTGCCCTAGAATATAATAATGTACAAGAGTGTTTTAAAATTACAGCGTGTATAGATTTTTCGCCCTTGAATCCCCGCTCTGTGCACTTTTTGCAAATTAGGTTACTAATCTGTTTTATATATTTTCAGCGCGATGCATTTTTGTTTGTTGTTGTTTTAAGGCTGCGGCTCGAGCAAACATTTAATAGCTCCAGGCTCAAATTTGCGGAATAAGCGCTATTCAATTATAGTCAAAGAAACAGTACCGGATTTTCATAGCTTTGAGGGAACCATTTTCGGAACTTGATAATGACAGAAGAGCTGTCATCCTCCGTTTGAGAAATTTACCTTATACATAAAATGTGCGTAGCTTGCAGTCAAATTAACTTATATTGTGGGTGCTGCTATATACAGAACAGAGAGATCATTCTGCTAAATTGCAGATACAGGTTTGCCGCTTTATTTGCCTTGAGCTTAAAAAGGAATAACGCTGCGTTTGGCCGATGCTGCTATTCAAAGGAAAAAGGTCAAAGAAGCCTATTAATTTGTTGCATTTACTTTGAAACAAGTACGCCTAAACAAATCGGTAATTACTGCGAAATATAAAGTCCAAAACATAAAGGATGTGAAAATCTAAACCGTTAACGACGTGTCGGTTTTATTATCGCATCTTTTGATATCTATTAATTTTCGTATTAATTTTCATATCCTCATCCCACGCTCTGATGTTAACGCATTTAGTGCTACATTTTGGTTGATCGTCTTTTGTTCTGCAGCATAATAATTAATAACATTTCTTTTATTTTCGTCAAAATAACACTAAATCTGAACTTCGTAAGTTACTTTTAGCTACGGTTCCTAGTAAACAACAGGACGGTAATTATATATTTTTAATTAGCGGTTTTTATTTGTCAACTGTCGCTTAAAAGGGAGACCCAGACAGTTTACCTCGAAATAAAAATAGCATGGTCGAGGCTAAAAACACGACTTTGTCGATACCTTGCTTTAAATAAGCACTCTTGAAAATCATACGGTTGAAGTTTAAATTAGATCTACTGAGCTTCATTGATCAGATGTAAAAGACCTGAAACAATTAAGCGTGAACCAGTCGCAAGATTTACATGAATGAAATAATCGTGTTTAAAATTCATAAACGTAAGTAATGCGTGCGGGAAATTGCGTTTGAGCGTTTGACAAACAACGGGCCATTAAGCATTATTATTATCCCATAAAACGATTTAAGTATGATATGTAATTGAACCATTGTGGGTTTGTGTTTGGGCTATTCAATCAAATTCAATAACAATACGATTCATCACCTGAACGTGGTGCTGTTGTATGCTTCGCTAATTTACTCAGATTCTACAAACAATTGTATTGTGCATATTTTAAAAGGGTGCAAATTATAACTCTTCATGTTGCTTGTAATTGTCGGTGTTTAAAACGAAATACCTGCGGACCATTTACAAAATTGAAACGAACGTTATTTGCCAAAAGCGACGGAAATGAAACACATAGATCACCTTTTTATTGTTATTTTTAACAAAATAAAGCCGACGATTGGTTTCGAGCAACTCAATCCAATTAGAGATAAAATATACAAATTCGTCTGCTAAATATAATCACTTCATTGCTTTTTTAAACAAATTCGAAATGGCCGTTAAATTAAGCGATTCAACTAATTTGAAACCTATACAGCTGAAATTGGAAAGCTTTGTTTAGTTTTAGCATAGGAATGTTGAAGTTTGCTCACAGAACGCTCACTGGGAATACGGCAAAAACTGCTTTTAGACTTCAACATTGCGTTTGCAACTTTTCAAAGAATTATAATGCCTTTCAAATTGCATGGTTTTATTTATTTATTAAATCACACGAGTAAGAAACTGCTTTCAATGTTTTAGCGTGAATTTTAAGTGACACATTTAAAATGCAGTCAATAAAAATTCCACTGCTTCTTAGTCTTTAACGAAGCATTCAAAGGCGGAAAAAGAATTTAAATACGGATGTATATACCTTTATTTATACTTTGATGCTTTACTACTAGTTCGTCTTACGCGTTGGAAGGAAAGAGATAACGAATCATCTTGTAGCTCGTAGGTCTGTTTTGTTTTGTTACTCATTAGCTGTAATTACTTGAAAACAACTAGCTACACAAGAAACAAACTATACATTAAAGAATAATAAGCTAAGAAATTTTTATAATAGCGGCGAATGGCCATCTTCATGTTTTCTCAATGTTTCGTGACCCCTACATATTGTTACGTTGATATTTAAAACCATACTTCCTTCTAGATGAACATCGTCGATCTAGAAAGACGTCGATTGCGGAACTGCAATCGACGTCTTTCTAGAATAGCCATCGCGACTTCCGCTTCCAGGCTTTTTTTAGCGAAACCCGTCCGGTCGCCGCCACTGCCGATGAGTCATCCATCATCGCCGTGCATACTGGAATCCATAGGCGTCGTACTGGGGCGGCGTATGGGTTTATTTCGTAACAGTATGAAAAAACAGGCTCGCGTTTCCGTCTGTTAGTAGTAAATGTTATTTAAATTTCTTAAAATAGCATACCTCTATACTTGTGGTTTCTGAAAGCTCCTTAAGTTTTTACCTTAGATTCGTAGATTTTCGCAAAAATTATTCAAATTGTGTAACAACTTTTTTTATGCTGATATAATAGTTTGTTTGAACACAATACGGTACATAAAAACAATTTTTGCGTTTACGTTATTTCACTAGTGCCCGTACACTTCATACTCGTGATCGTTTCATATCGCTTTTTGACATTTGTGCAGATTTCAATTGGTATTGATTTTCCAGTTTGCACAAAGCTTCTACGCCGTGGTGTTAAAAGCGTTTGGGTTAATAGCGTGTGTACAAGTTAAATATGAAACTAGCGCAAGTCAGACTAATATATTTCGCGAAACAAAATGTAAAACAAGCTTTAATCAAGAAATTGTACAACTCATTTCAACTAGCAAAGAAAATTCTTCCCGACCTCTGGGAATACTTTTATGTTCGGCGCTCAAACAGAAACTAAAAAAATATTTTATTAACACGGCTCCAAGTATCTGGCTACATGCTCTAACCTATAACTCAATAAATTGTTCACTAATTGGTTAACGTACGTGAATGATTGTTAGAAAAACAGTCCTTGCTAGCATTCGCTCGAGAGATGGTTTCTAAACAAGAGAATTAAGTTTGTTTTATTGGAAATGTTGAACTTTTAGATTTAGTCATAACGACCCAATTAATCAAATACTAAGCTAACAACAACATGACTAGTAATGGATTTTAATTGAAAGCTTAAGAATACCAATTGCTGCTGTTATTAGTTCTGGCTTAATTTAACCTGCCCTAACAATGCATACAAACACTCAAATCCTCAACCAAAGTCGACCACGAAAGCAATCACAATTGGTTAGGTCACATTGGCCATATCGGTGTCACATCTCTGTGTGAGTTCATTAATCTCAATTCAATGGCCAGGACTGACGTACTGTTCGTTTCATTTCCAATAACTTAAAAAAGTACCTTAACAATGTGTCCTTTCTTTTAACCACTTTAGAAACTGAACATCCGAAAAACGAAGCTACGAAAAAATCTTACATTAGGAAGGTTATAACCTTTTTAACGTTGGCTTCAGTTTCATATGCCGCGGTACGCGGCCTGGGTTTTTATTATGTACGGCGATGAGCTGTGGTCACTCATCATCGGTTACGGCGGTGTTGGAACAGAGAAAAACCTGGTGCTGGTGGATTCCAGAACAACCTCGAAGGCGGCGTTCGCAAATAATCTAAGCGAACGCATCGCGGTTTAAATAGGGACACCACCGTCGGGAACGATCAAATCCATTTCAGCCGAGTCGAAAATTAAAATTACGCTAAAATGGAGTATAAAACATATTCTGACTAGACAAGAGTTCGGCTTGTACTAACACAAAAGAAATATGTTTTCAGTGCAATCTAATTAAGTTCATTTCAATTTAATTAACAAGCGTACGAATTGAGAATTTGTATAAAATGCCTTGGTAAATTTGTAAACATTTTTAAGTACAATTGGAATAAGAAAATAAGGAGCAAATCGAGGAAATACGCTGAGAATATACAAAGTTAAATACAAGCCAGATAAGACGTCGATGTTATTTCAAGTTTTTTTCTCTTCTTAGTAATGTGGTTTTCATTTCATTCTGTATTGGCGCAAAGATGTAGAACTATAAAGTTTGTAATAAGATGTGTGATTTTGTGTCAACAATTCTTGTGAAAGTTGCAAAGTCTTGAGTTTGATAATATTCATTTTAAGTTGTCACACTTTTAGTGTGCAGATAAAGCGATAAATCTATAAAGTGTTATTAAAATAACAAAAACAGTAAATAAACACAGCCGTTAAGAAATCCTTTGTAAGCAATATGTGTGCAAATGTTGTAGCACGTTTTCGTCAGTGTATTAACCATGTAAATCTGTGTAAAAACACACGTAAAGCCTAGCTCACAAGTGGGCTTTGTTCGTTTTAAAATGAAAAACCTGTGATTGCCGCCAGGTTTTGTGACTAAATAGAAGCGAAACAATGGAGCAACAAATTATGTAAAATAGTGTACGCGCTGAAAACGCAAGTGAATGGGAATGATCGATTTGGTCCTTGAAATGTGAAATTGTCCCGAAATAGTAGGTAAAAAATGGAACAGTAAATCTAGTTAATGGTACTGTTTCAACAACTGAGGGGGAGTGTGTGATGGGTTGTATAGACATACAGGGGCGGACTGGTTATCGGTGTTAAATTGCTACTTTTAAGTACGTGTGTCTTTTGATAACAGCACGATTATAAATAGGGTTGAATGTGGATTTGTCGCACAGATCAACTTATTTAAAACCAGTAGTTTTTAAAAATAATTTCGGAGGCTTCCACGATCGGAATCAATACATGATCGTTTTCCGGGTTGGAACCGTGTTAATTGAGTTTTTGGGCTCAACGTTTCGCACACTTTAGAAACAAAACTCAATTTACACGGTTCCAACCCGGAAAACGATCATGTAGTAGTTTTTAAGTTATAAGTCGATTTGGGTATAAAATATACAGGGTGAATCATTAAGCGCTCTCTTCGATATCTCATTAATTATTATTAGACACAGAAATAAAAGTCAAACAAAGTCACACGGTTCTTTGAAGACCAACACTAAAAATATTTTCAACTATACGGAGTGATGTATTTTTAAGGCGTAGCCCGCAACTTAGTTTTTTCAAATGGAATATTCTATATATTTTTAGAAAATTTCATCGTCATCTTTTATATCAATAAAAGAGCATGGACACATGTGGTGAACTCTGTGGTCCTGTCGAAAAAATTTTGAATTAGTAACGATGTGACGATCCTACGAATTGCTATTTTCAGTTTTTGTCGACGCTTAATGATCCTTGGAGTACTAAAAGGTAGCTTTCCCGGTTATGTCTGTCTGTCAATTGTTATTAGACAGATAATTTCCGAAACTACTACATCGATTGTTGTCAAATTTTAATTGTACATTGGGAATATCGTGTAGATTGTAAAACGCTAACCAAAAATTGTCTAATCCTCTCCACGAACAATGAGATGACTTCTCCAGAATTTACAATAGTAAATATTATTTAAATGCATCCATATTGAGTTTTTACCCAATCAGATTTTTGGAAAAAAAACAGAATTAATTAACATTTTACAATTTAACTTTGAAATTGCAAAGCCGAGTGCTCTGAAATATTGCAAACATGTTACGGTTGTCGGAAGCATGATGCATCCGTAATCAAAATTTATCCATTTATCCAGTCCTAAAAATTGATGACGTCATCTGAAAATTTTGCTGAATAATTCCTATCTAAAATACGCAAAATATTATGACTCTTTATTTGAGGTTGATCAACGGATTCATAGCTTTTAATATTTCTTATATAGGGTGACACAAAACAATTAATGAATTACGAAATTGCTCTTTTTATTAAAGCAGCTGTGAGTATGTAGTACTGTTTTTATTAGTATTATACTACATCTATTCACTGATACAAGTGCTTTTGATAATATTGATGACATCATCACAAAATTTTGTTACGGAAATACTCACTTGAAACATACACATGACATGCTCCTTTATCTGTACTTTAACAGCCCACACGTATCTTCTAAAAAATATGAATGCAAGATAAATCACAAGTAAAAAGTCATCATATTTTGCACATTTTGGATAGAATTTATTCGGCAAAATTTTGAGATGACGTCATCAATTTTTTAGGATGAGCAAATATGTTTTGATTAAAAACTGTGATAACTATAAAACATTTCCAAGATTTTCCAAGATTTCAAACCATCGGTTTTGTAGTTCCTGATTAAATCAATAAAGTTAAATTGCATAATGTTGTTTTATAATTTTGTTTTTTTTTTTTCAATAATCTGGTCCTCATCACGGAGTCATAAACTACATGTGTAGGACTATGTTATTTTATGCAATTTAAAACCCATTTACTAAGTACAATTTTGAAGTGACGTCATCATATTATTGGTGGGGATGATTAGACAAATTTTGGTTAGGGTTTCACCTTTTACATGATATTCTTAATATAAATACAAAATTTGACAACAATCGGCCCAGTACTTTCGGAGATTAACTGTCAGACGGACAGACAGATCGACGGACAGGCAGGCAGACGGACAGGCAGGCAGACGGAGCTGGGAGACCTATTTCTTCGTATTGTTACGTTTGGCGGGCGAAAAATTAATCGGGTGTAGGTAAAACTCAACAATTTATTTCTTAATAACTGGTATTTACACGACTAACTATTGCGACGATTATGTACAGAGATTATTCCGGCGAATTTCACTGGACGCTCTTGACTGATTAAACTAGCTGAATGAATAATGGTTCTCTATTTAAACCCACACTTCCACGATCGAGATCTTTCTCGAGTGTCCATGGCGACTCCGTTTCGAGACTTCCGGTAACCGGCTCCAGACTTGTCTTTATGCGCCCGCCGTTCGGCCGTCGATGAGTCACCGTTCATCGACACACATACGAGAAAAACTCGTAGACATCGCACCGGGGAGGTTATGGGTTTATTAAAAATTGGTCTTTTGTTATTAGATAGGACTTCCCTTACCCCTAAATACAATTTAAATTTCTCAAAACCTTAAATTTCTGAAAATAAGATCAATGCACGCTTGCACAAACATGCGGTAGCAATGAAAGAGAGCGGTGATCAGAGTTCCTAGAGGTGAAACTCGAGAAACATTTTTGATACGATATACACTTCCGTGGAAATGCGTTTAGTGTTTAGATGACTTATGCGGTAGTTAAGGTTAGTTAAGATTGCGTTGAATAGAAGTGAGAATGATGGCAGTTCGCCCCTGTATATGTACACATCGGTAATTATGCAGTGATCTTGGAAAAAAGGGTAAAGGGTTATGCGAGGGGTGAACGTGGAAAGGATCGATGGCTCAATGTAACAATAAGTAAGAGAAGAGATGACATGCGGGTCTGACAGTCGGGATGTTTACTATGCGGTATTGCATTTTTATTTATTTTGTTGCATAAAGGCGAGAATGAACAATTGTTTTAAAAGCTCATATGAATATGGATGCGGCGGAATGCACACGGTACAATAGCCCGGGGTAATGGGTGCGCGCTAAGTAGACAATGCCGGCTGATTATAAACATAACCATAAATACAAACGTTGGCCGACGCAACTTCAATCATTTCCCGACGTGTATGCTAAGCGCTCATAGGTTTATACTGGTTATGCATTTACGCAATACGGAACGGAGTAATTTATGTATTACATTAAATAAATAAATGTATGAGCGTTCCGCAGTCGCAGGACGAATGCCCGTCGCTTTCCTAATAAACTTTCTGGAATATTTAACATCTATTAATGGATTTTAGTATACGAGTAACATTTGCATCAAAAGGTATGCATTAAATGTATTCGCACAAACTGACATTTAGATGTAGATTTTAAAATGATTTTGTTGGGTCGGCCGTACTTGGCGTCGATTGGTGGACGCGCCGGGCGGAAATTAATCTTGATACGTTCCAAATGATAACCGTAAATCACTATCGTATCGAATGTGACCAATATCTCACCCCAAAGTTCGTATATTGCAGTCGATTTGTAAGAAACAATGTAGTTGAGTTAAGTTTGGAAACAATTTCAATTTTTCCAGTTAAAAAAGAGTCAGTTAGTCAATCAATTTGGGGCACTTGTTATCAGTTTTCAGTTCCGCTACCCGTGCCACAATATAGTGAATAATTCGATCGCGCTCCAAAGTTTTATCGTCGAGGGGAATGAATTTCAGCTATACATCTACCGCGCCGCTGTTCAGGCCGCTAAGTAAATATACTGTGCAAAGTCTGAAATTGAAAGTCATCTCTTAAGAAATGTTAGTGTAGGGCACAAGGAGGTTCCGCAACTTCACAGCCCGATAAAAAGTATGAGCAGTTGGAGTTCTAGTACTTATATTATAAAGCTTATCACGACCGTTATGACTCACTGGTCTTTCAGCGCATCTTTCAGGGCGCGCGGCTATCAGCCATGATATCTGTATGGCTGGTAGGTATCTGGTATCTCCCCTCGTGGCTCCTGCCTAACGCGGGCTGCGGCTACACTCTGTTTGCACCTCGCTAACCTCGTCGAGTTGTGGCCCGCACAGGCATAATTGTCACAACACTCCATTTTCGTGCAGTTTCCGCTGGCTATTCGTAGCTTATTTCCGGCGTATTGTGGGAAGGGTAGAGCACTGCGCCTGACACCGTTGACGGATGATGTAAACCCCTCTGTTGCAGTTCACCCCTTGATACAAGTTCCCAACCAGCTCGTCGGCGCCCCGGTTAACACCGATGTCACCCTCCAGTGTCACGTAGAGGCATCACCGAAGGCAATCAACTACTGGACCAGGGAAAGCGGTAACTCTACGCCGAACACATACGAAAGCAAAATATACTAAAACAAAACCACATTTTGCGAAGAACACAAAAAATTTATCACGTAACAAACTCAATTTACGCAACAGAATAATTGAAATGCTCGGCTTCGCAGCACCGGCCAGGGTCCAGTTCACCCGTAAACAACGTCAATATTTTTTTTTAAAGGCGCCACCTAGTTTTCCCAAGTAAAAAGTCATGGAAAATTTAAAAAGTTTCCTGATTAATTAACAATAAGTCCGCAACAAGTCAAACAATTTCATTACACATATACACAATTTTAAACAAACGAAACGAAAAAATGATTTTTGGAACTTGAGGCTGACTGTAAAAATAACCACAAGTTATAGTTACATCGCATAAACTATACATGTTTAACATAACCTCTATTCAATTGCTGGTCCCAGCATCTATCGATCTTTGTAATTTATGCTCAAATTTCAGTGAAACTATTAGAGTGAACAAAAGTGGTGGACAAAACAGAATCGGCTTCAAAACAATTTTTGTATTAGGTTTTAGGGGGTCATTCCAAGAAAATTGAGGATGATCTTTTAGGTAATACTTCCGCTCGGCATCCATTACAATTTTGAAGTGTACCCTCGTGACACAGAGGACGAGTTTTTTTTTAATATTCAACCGAATCCATTATTTTTATTTAAAATCAAACAATTTTACTCGCGCAGAAAATTGAAAGCCGCAATTGAGTTACTGCTGGTGGGCACTGTCGGAGCTGAATACGGGGACTAGACGCACGGTTTCCACGGCAACGGTGTAACTAATACGTCTAAACGAGCCATGATTTGGTCTCCGGCTTGGCTTTGATCAGCACTTCATCAATAATATCATATCGTCTATCCAAGACACAACATTTTTAGATGTAAGTTTTGATACATGTTATACAAGTGGAGCGAGATAAAAAAAATCATTTTTGATAATTATGACACAAATTTCCGGATAATTTTACTTTTAATAATTGTAAACAATTCTTTCAAATTCTAAATATATTGTTAGAAACTAACGTGAATAGGGTCACTATGCATGAGTTCCTCAATATCTCATTAATTATTATAAATAAAAAAAAAAGTCAACGATCAAGGTTGTAGGGCTTTAAGGACTGTACTCTAAAATTATTGTTAACTGTACAGAGTGTTCTGTTTTTAAGGCATAACACACAACTTAGTTTTTTTAGTGAAACAGCCTATATATTTTTATATATTCTCATTAGCCTTTTGCTAAGCTTTTTAACTACAATTTACTTTTTAAATTCCGATACAACGTTACGAAGTTATCTTACCATGTTTTGTGGAAAGATCAATAAAGGTAGTCGCTTTGGTGTGGTATCAATTAAATCAGATTTTAGTGTACAGGGTGTTTATAAAAAAATCTAAAACTTTACAATTTTTAAAAAACGATATTTCAGTTTTTTCAAATAGAACACCGTGTATTTTATTACTTTATTCTGTTCTTTGTTCTCATTGCCTCTATTCTTTCTTTCAGTAACTATCAATTTTAAATATAGAAAATACTTAACAAAAAAGGAGGAGAACAAAAACATTAAGAAAAAACAAGCCAAAAATTAAGCCCCACCCATATCCATGCCAAGCTCAATTGTGATGAATTTTTACATTCGTTGTCACACCGATGGGCGGTGCCTAATTGCAAAATCGATAGCTTTTTTATAAATTTTTATTCGCGTGTTTGTTGATTTTTTCTGTTGCAGTTTTGTTGCCTTTTCTTTTCGACGTTTCTGCCGTTTTTTTGTCATCCTTTCTGTGTGGCATTTTTTGTCGCTCTTTGTTCTGGACTCTCTTTTCACCTCTTTTTTTGGCTTTTTATTGTGGACTTTATTGTCGCTTGTTTTATCGCATTTTTTGTTTCATTTTGCCGCTATTTTTAACGCATTTTTTCGTCTTTTTTATTGCCCTTTTGAAGTATTCTTTCATGTCACCCGTTTTATAGTTTTTTATCTGCTTTTTGTCGTCGTTTTCTGCTGCGTTTCTTGTCGCTTTTTTTGACGTTTCTGTCGTTATTTTTGTCATTTTTTTAACGCTTGTTTCGTCATTTTTTACTGTAGACCTTCTTATCATGTTTTAAGTTTCTTCTTGTGGAAATAAATCTACTTGTTAAGAAAAAACAAAGGCAAAATATAAGCCCCACCCTATCTCAATTGTGATGATTTTTTTAATCATCGAGAGCTAAAGGGGCAAAATTTAATTGCGAAATCGTTATTATTTCTATTGTTTTTAAGGATCGCGTTATTCAAAGAACACTACGTATATTAAGAAAAAATTAAAGCCAAAGATTAAGCCCCACCCATACCCACCTCTATTAACTAGTAATGAAGTTTTCATTCGTTGGCAGACCTAGGGGCGGAGCCTAATTGCAAAATCCATATTTTCATACAGAAATTTACCATTTTAAACGTGTTTTAGGTTTTTAAGAATTAAAAAAATCATCACAATTGAAATGGGGTGGGTGGGCGGCGTTTATATTTTGCCTTTTTTTCTTAATATACATAGTACTCTTTGAACAACACGATACTCAAAAACATATTTTTAATTTCTTGTAAAGAAGTAAGAATTTTGCAGTTAAGCTCCGCCCTCTTTTCTAACGGCGTATAAAAAAATCATCACAATTGGGACAGGGCGGGCGGGCGGGCTTACATTATGCCTTTTTGTTTTAATATGTGTAGACTTCTTTTCATAACAACAAACTTAAAACATGTTTAAAATGGAAAATTTGTATTAGGAAATACCGATTTTGTAATTAGGCTCCGCCCCATAATTGCAAAATCCATATTTCCTTGCAAAGATGTACCATTTTAACCATGTTCTAAGTTCTTGTTGTGAAAAGACGGCTATGAATATTAAGAAAAAAAAAGGCAAAATATAGTACTTGATCAGATAAGACTGATTTTGGCAAATGATATATTCTCTGAGAAAATAGGGGGCGGGTGGGCGGGCCTAGAACTTGTTAAGATAAAACTGATTTTGCCCTAAGATTCTTGTACAAATTTGTTAAATTTAAACGGTGTTAAATTGCAATTTCTATAGTAATGAGTTAAATGCCTAAATCTGATTGGATGTTTATTTTTTAACAACACAATCATTAATTTTTCTGAGGCATTTTGTATAATCCAAAAATAAAATGTGGGTGCTATATTTGAAAAACTGAGATATGTATATGAAAATTTCATAAAGCCCGTAGCTTTATTTATTTCTCCACACAATATTGTAAGCCCCGATGATAAAAATAACGCTACTGCGATTTTTTGTGAACCTTTTCATTGCTAAAAAATTTCAAGAAAATTGGAATAACGTGGCAACGTCACATCGATATTTCAAAAATAAACCGTAGTTATAAAGCGCAAGAAGACGCCAATCAAAATATAGGATCTTTCATTTGTTAAAAACACCAAGTTGTGTGCTATGGCTTAAAAACAGAACACTCTGTGTAGTTCAAAATAATTTATATTGAGTATAGTCTCAAAAAATCGTACAATTTTGGCCTTTGACTTTTTCCTCTATTTCTAATAGTTAATGAAATATCGAGGATCGTGCGCTTAGTGAGTCACCCTGTATATACAGATAATATTCACAGTGTGTCACAGAACAATTTTTAAAAAAAATATGATGAAAATAATACTGGCGTCAAAAAATTAACGTAGGGACTACATTTCCTAAAAGTTTCACATTTGTATTTTTTTCTCAATATAACGATCTCAGGGGGTAAAGTAGGCTATTTTTGAAGGTTTACATATTTTAAGCATAGTGAACTTAAAACTTCCGTTACATTTTCTACTGTATGAGTACTAAATGCCCAAAAAAATCGACTCTCTCAGACCACGGTTTTTCAAATTGGTTACTTAAAAGGGCATCCTCAATTTCTTTCATCAAAATCAAAATCGTGCTTTGCGCTTTTTTATTCGAATTTAATGTTTTCATACGGAACGACTGAAATGAAAAATATAAAAAAAAATTAAACAACCTATAAATAACTAGAGTGAAGAGCACAAAAAATGTATTCTGTAATAAACCCAATTTATGCGGAATAATTGAAATGCCGGGCTTCGCAACAACCTCATTATTTTTTTTAAAAGGGCGCCAGCGAGTGGATAATAATTCCACAAAAAGTAAAAAATTGATAACATAATTATCTTTCTTCCGAAAAACGATACACGTTACACATGGAGACCGTTCTGCTCACACTGTTATTCAAATTCAGGCTCGGAATCTTAGGGTTTAAATATGTTTGGCTAAAGCCTCTCTTTGTCGGCGAATTCTTCCTTTTCGTGAGGAATCCCCTCACTTACAAAAACCAACTTAAAAACATACAATGCAAGGTGACGACCCTTCACCGTCCATTGTAACCGCAAGAATTCCTTATGTTCTAGTTTAAACTAAAGCCACTGCATATCAAAGCTTACCTTGCGTTGACCGAAAATCAAAAACAATTTTAGGTGGTCACACACTGACCTCCCAGGCTCGGAAACTAGGTGAGTTATTCAGCGAAAACAAAATTTCTTTTCATAGTGTGAAACATCGGGTTGCCACCCAGGGCTTGTCATGATACAGCCATAAATACGAGTATTTGCTGTCAACCAAAAAGTTAATAGTTTGTGGGACACCAGCGCAGGAAAATCGATGCCGTCCTTGCGAGATTCGAAAAGTTGGTGGAGTTTTATGTGTGTGATATATTTTCTCATCATTAAGATAGTTGAGTCGGGAGTTGAACGCGTGACTTGTTGTGTCACAGCAGCTACGCTGTGCGTTGTAGTGTGTATGTACGACTAAGAAGGTGAAAACCGACCCTTGGAATTTTAGCGGAGCGAAATCCAATACCTTGTCATAGAAGCCGTGCGTAATAAGTGCATATGACGTCGGTGCTGTTTAATGAGGTAAAACTGATTACCAGTACCGAGGACTCAACGAACGAAAAACGAAACCTCGATGATACAAGAGAAGTAAAATCCGGGCTACTTTGGTGGCGAAATGATTTGAAATTAGATCTAATTTATTTTTTGTTCCTATTCTGTATATATCGTTCGAGTGTTCGAACTGCAACTTTGATAAATTTAATGACCAGATTTAACCACTTTTCAACAGATTGAAATACATCACGGTCTTGAGTTTCTGCTATTTTACTTGTGCTTATTATTAACAGTCACTGAGCATATACAAAACTAACTCAACTGGTTTTAAAGCTGAAGTTTAAGTAAATTTAAACCGTTTAAATCGTTTACTAACCCTTCAGGGGACGATTTTTGTTATGAATCGTTTCACTTAATATGAGTTAAATAATATGGGTGTTTTTAAGTTCGGTGTGAAAGATCTTGAGAAATTTAAACCGACGGTGATATTTGCATTTATTCACATAGCGTAGCAATTGTAAATGTTTTTACAATTTGTTTATTTATTTTCGGAAATGTTCCTTGTGTAAATTTCAGCGTTTGGGGTATATTCTTGTCTGGATGACTGTGTTTTCGTGGTTTGGTTTTATAAGTACATTTTGCTTTTATAACTGAATCTGAATTTCCGCATTCACATTTCGTGTCAAACTCTTTTCTATTTCCTGCAGGAGAGATGATCATCACCAACGACAAGTACTTCATGACAGAAATCAACAATTCCTATTACAGCGTACAAATGAAGCTAATCATAAGAAGATTCCACAAATCCGATCTAGGAGGTTACAAATGTATCTCCAAAAACTCGATCGGTGATGCCGAGGGCAACATTCGTCTCTATGGTAAGCCAGCTCCCACTTACTTTCTGATTTACAGCTTCGAAACTATGAAATGTTGATGAGACTCACACTAGAATTGGCGACGCAATAAAATGAAATTGGATTTTTCACAAAAATCGCTAAAATTTCACTTACTACTTTTGTATCCGACCCGTTTTCGACACACCAATGTATATCTGTTAACGGTTTAAGTCAATTGCTTCTCCCACTTTTATTACCTCCACCGACACTTTACCTTTAACTTTACACCTTACCCAAATACTCTACAATCAAACGCCATCTCGCACAAAAATTACTTCCATTCAACCACTCCGACATTTCTTCATTTGCGCGAAAACCAATTACGCTTGGACGAAATTACACAAAATATATCACTCGTGCTTTATTAGCCGTTAAACATGCAAAAATCTTTTCGCACACGAATTTTTTAACTCCTTGAGACTTCTCTCCGCTTCCTTTATTTAAGTAACTATGCAGAAGTACAAGGAAGGCAATATTTTCATCTGATTCAATCTCCATAGTGAAATTAATGTTAAAATGTTGGGCGTTTAATTGGCGAGAAAAGAGATTAGAAGCTTTCGTCGGAGTGTCTAGATAATGAAAGTGTCAGTTACGTATTCAGGAATGTTATTTAGCTTGCGATGCATAAATATATTGGAATGCATTCAACTTTTCCAAATGGAAGGGTACACGCAGCTCGTCCGGATAATTCGGGCTCAACTATAAATGGAATATTTTTTCAATACATTAACTACAATACCTAAGCGAAGTGCATTATTACCAAATGAATATTTTATCGCTAATAATTTTATTTAGTTCCAATACATGTACGTACTTAGTTATACATTACCAAACAATCGATAAATGATTCCAGAAATTGCTACTTTCATCCAGGCTTATCGATTTGATTAAAACTCGTCCAAATTACGTTGCTACAATTCTTAAGTTTTCGCGGGATTCGTTTTTAGCCCCTCACAACCGACTCGCTGATGCAAGAAATTTTAATTTACTTGAAGCTACAATGAATTCTAACAATTCTTAACAAGAATCACGATTTTGTGCACAGTTTACACTAATAAACTGAAAAACAAAACATATCCGAGCATTTTTGCAAGGACACGTATATCAACTTGAATTTGGTGGGGTCACCAATTTTTTAGGGGGGATAAGCAAACACATTTTGATCAAAAATTTACCATGTAATACATATCTCTGGTGATTCGGTGTTGCAGATTCAAAATTAAATTGCAAAATGTTGTTTTATAATTTTGATTTTTTTTCGAAAAATCTGGACGTTTCTGGTAAAAACTCAATACGGAGTTGTAAACTACACGTGTAGGACTATGTTATTTCATACAATTTAAAACCCATTTATTATGTGCAATTTTGAAGTGACGTCATCACATCATTGGTGGGGATGACTAGACAAATTTTGGTTAGCGTTTTACCATCTACATGATATACCTAATATAAGTACAAAATTTGACAACAATCGGCCCAGTACTTTCGGAGATTATCTGGATAATAAAAATCCGGGACTGCAGACAGACGGACAGACAGACAGACAGACGGAAACGGGAAACCTATTGATTCGTACTCTAGGGGTCATGAAAGCTCGAGAAAACGTAAAAGTAGAAGAGAGTCGGGCGACAGACTCAACAAATATTTCTATTTTGTCTCCTTTTTTGTTGTCGCTATTGACTAACACTTCATATTTTAATTTCTCTTTAAAATAAAAGCAAGTCGTTTTGGGAAAAATATAATTAAAGTTACTCCGTTTGGCGTCCGTCCGACAAAGAGAATAGCGCTTAAGAGATAAATATTTTTCTTCAGTCATTAAAATGTATACTTATACATTTTGAAGTTTTCGTTAAAGTAACTGAATACATTAAAACTGGAGCAATTAAATTTCCATGCTGTTTCATCAGATTTGATTTAATAAATCATTTCTGCCATTAATAACCTCTTGTCCACAAAAACTGGCTTTATCTATGCCAGTAGTGTTTTAATCAAAATATTAATTAAAAATCGTATAATGTGTACTAAACACCTACCCCAATTAAAACACATCTCACGTTTTGCGGGGTTGACAGAATCGAAAACGTATGGAGCGTATCGATGAGATATTGGAACGAACAAATCTAAGCAATTTACGCAGTGTTATTATAAATTACGATTAGAGAAACACCAGAATGTACAAGAGTTGACTGGAAGTTGTAAGCTTTTTGTAAGAGAATTTCAGTTTTAATCTTGACGTATTTATGTTTACAGAGTAAACGTTGTAACGAATTAAAACGAAGTCTCAGGGCGAATGACAATTAGGGTTGTAATTTTATACAATACTAATTGCATTATTTGAAATTAAATTTAAATACAATTGCCGTTCTTCATTAGCCTTACCACAGCGTTTAGTGACTAGTGGTTCCTTAATCTATCCCAACTATCGTAATACACCACATTACACTAAAAACGACGATGTAGGGGAAATGAACAAAAACGACTTCAAGTGGGTTCAAAGTGTGGCACAATGCGTCAAATATGAGGTCGATAGTGTTTATAATATAAATAACGAGCAACCTAGTCGTACGTCGAACAGACAATAGAATATCAAGTTTCCACTTGACGCCGTTTTTTGTTCGTTGCTCGTCACCTGTTTATTATCCTATTTGCAACTAAAATAGTCTAGTGCGACACCTTTCAGAATTCGTCGCATACTATAAGCGTTTAAATTTAATTCCGCAATCATACATTGTGAGAAATCATTTCGCCTTAACAGCACAGCAATTTTTATATTTTATCGGTATTTTGACAGTAATAGCGTCAACATTTTCCAGGATTAACTATATCGCTTGTTTGTTAGGAGTAGGGCGTTCGTTTGCTTTTCGATTGTGTGTGTACATAACATTCTTACGTTAACCTCTTGTTGCTTTTGTAAACAATATTTTCCGCGAAGCTCTTAAGGACTTCCAGCTTACAAAGAAAAAAGTGTTGTGGATTTTGTGGCGTTGACACCTCGAGTGTCTCAATTTTTAATTGAAAAAATTCTCGCAACGCCGACTGCGACGGGACCCGCAAACCGAAAAAATAATAGCAAAAGATACGTCAGAAACTTAGAACGCGCTTTTTATTTAAGTTATTCAAAAGAATTTTACGCGGTCCCCATTATTTTGAGCGGGTATAATCTTACGATCTATCGCAATATATCGCAGGTTGTACATTTGAAATTCATGCCGACATAAATTTCCACATCTGCGCTTAAAAACGTTGGTGACGGTGTTTTTTGTCCGTTATACAGAAATGCAGCGCTCAAAAATATCACCGTAATTATTGGAATCTGCGTTTCCCCTATAGGCGAGCTTCAAGCAGATTTAACGATTTAAGTCCATTGTTTATTTATTTAGGAGTAAAATTTCGCCTATTGACCTTTCGATTCGAAACAAATTAAAACTTTCCATGGATTTGGATAATTTAAAATCAGACATAATGTGCGCTTGGGGCGGCAGTGTGACGGCAGCGTGCCATAGAAATATTACTAAGAATAACACTGACAGGCCAAAAATATAAAGCATTGCACGAATATTTCAACGGGAAAAGGTAGTAACAAACAAAATTAAAAGAAAGAAAATATTTAGAAAATTTCGATTATTCATATTAGACGCCTACTCTGTTTTGACGAGACAAAATCACTCAAAACAGGCAAACATAAACAATCGAAGTTAAGCATGTATCGATAATTTTTCCCGTTGGGCCACCATAACCTTGTATTAACACCACGCCACTAGTTTCTGTTTCTATTGAACTAACCTTAAGGAAGTATTGTAATCGAGTCCATCGGGCGACGAAAAAATAGGTCCCCCGGTTTCGTCTGTGTGTCTATCCGCTGTCTGTGTCGTCTTCCGAAACTACTGAACGGGTTGTTGGTAAATTTTATTTGTGTATTATGAATATCAACAATGGGATTAGGTTACCTCAAAATTATATTATATATGCTGCACGTGTCGGAATTGACTGCGTGTGCTTGCTGAATTGTCGATGGGAACATTTTTCAGTGGGAAAAGTCACTAAAACAGGCATAACCTTCCGCCTCATCAGTGTATTCATACTTTTGGAACAATTGTTTGAGTGTTCATCCGATTCTCCTCGCTCCGCGCCAGACCAAATATAAACAAGTTAGCATAATGTGATGTGTTCGAATCGAAAGCAGTGCCGTAGAATGAGTCTAATTTGATCAATTTTTTAAATTTTGGTATCATGTAAAACGAAATAAGTTCTCGTTGAAAAGTTTGGACCTTAAAGAGCAGGGTTATTTATTGTTAGTACTTTACTTTATGTAATATTTCAGTACCTATTCAGTGGGTAAAGTTTTTTTACCCCCTTTGGGAACTAGGGGTTACTTATTGGTCGCTAGCTCTTGGACTGTATGGAATACATAGTTGTTAGAAAAAAATAAGAAATTCTTAATGCAATACCGGGCATTTTTCAAGCCAATGGTATGTAGTTGTAATTGCTTGTATTAGTGAGGTATGACAACAATTCCAGCAGTAATATAGCGTTGATTTTGTATTTTACTTTAGTAGCAATAAAGAAAAATATGAGCCTAATTAATAAGGTCGTGGCAAGATTGTTTGTATTCGTTTATTGAAATTTGTAGCCACGTAATTCTCGTCTAAAGTTTGCCAACTATGCGAAAGTGAAGGGGGAGCTCTCCGAGATTCAGATAATATTCAAATAAAACTTAAAGTTGAAAATGTATTTGAAGCGATCAATACGGGCATTTTTGTTTAAAATATTTAATATTGACTATCGTTGCAGAAATGGAGATCCAAAACCGGGCAGATTCCGACGACGAGAACATGGACGAGGACGTCGAAACGGAGAATACGGAGAAGCGTCTGTATAACGGCTTTCAAGGGCCACTTACCGAAACTGAAGAGAGCAGCTTGCAGCCGAATGTCAGTTCCGGAAGTTCCGGGAGTACGGACACGATGCTGCGATCCGGGGGGCTGCTGTTGGTACTGTTCTTGTTGATTTGACGCTGCGGTGTGCGGTGCGCGGACACAGTGCAATGTGATATGTGCCAAATCTACTCGTGCTTCGCTACCTAACGCTGAGTGTCGTCTGTATCATACGAACTGTCTAGCAAATGTTAAAAGTAGCATGATAAATGTTAAGCCTCTGTTGCATTTAGACGCCTGCTAAGTCGTTTATTTCTGTTTAATATATCAAATCTAAACGATCGTATATGTTTAGTAGTCGATTCCGTTAAGGTTTCGTTCCAAAATTTATTTACTGTTGCATAAAATGTTTATATTTAAGCTAAATAAATTGTTTCGAATTTTATCAACGTTGTGTTTGAGTTAACCCCACAACGAGACGAAGTTCCGAAAGGTAAGTATCTTGTTTATTATTAATTTCTGTTTGCTCTTAATTTACGTGGATAGGTTAAAACGAAAAGTAATCAACATTTGAGTTAATAATGACGTATTGTTACCACAACCAGAGTTCCAGTTAAGCGATTCTCCAAGTCTCCCTATTGTTTTCCATACATGCGAATTGGAATACTATTTACAATTACGTATTTCAAAAATGACATTAAATTAAACGTCACAGTTAAGCAAATCGTACAAATCGTCTGCAAAAACCCGTACCCTTGCATCGTGATGACGAGTCTACTGAAAATAATTATTACTTTGGATTTTTGATTATTGCTCATCGGCTCACCCTGAAAATGAAGCTCCATAAAGGTAAATATCTTGTTTTCGTTGTATTATTATTATTATCCCCATTATCGCGTCAATTCCAGTCGTGAGGTTTTGTAAACCGACATTTCTTTCTCACTGTACGCCAACTAACCAGATTGTTTCATTTTTTAACGAAACAGGCTGCACACAGTGAAAGTTGCAGCTTGAACATCGCATCTAAAACAAGCAAATATTGCGTTGTCTGCAAAAACCCGCACCCTTGCATAATGAAAACACGACCTACACAATATCCACATTAGCAAGACTGCACATACGTAATTTTTTGTAGGTCTGGACACACTAAAGGTGCTAGGAGTTTCATACAAAATTTATTTACTGATGCGTACAACGCTTATCCTTACGATAATTAAACTATTTTGAGTTTACATTTGTTTACATTATTACTATTCATCAGTTCATCCGAATGCGGGAGCTTAATAAAAGTAAACATATTGGGTTATTATGTACTATTTGCGTTTCATTTCAAATTGAACGATGCATTACATACGTACGTTGATATTTAAAAATAACCTATATTTCTAGTGTCTTTAGTTTCAATTGTTTATTGAGTCTATTGGCTACTTTTGTTTTCTCGAAGCTTTATGACCGAAAAAAGATGTCTCCTGTTTCCGTCTGTCTGTCGGTCTGTCGTCTGTCCGGATTTTTATTGGACAGATAATACCCGAAACTACTGGGCGCATTATTGTCAAATTTTGTATTTATATTAGGAATATCATGTCGATAGTCAAATGCTAACCAAAATTTTGCTAATCATCCCCACCAATAATTCACCATTAGACATAAATTTTGTATCATTTTTACCTTGTTAACAATCATTTAAATTACCTCGGATTTACAAATAACTGGCATTTTATGCCGTTTCTGTTGTGATTTCGAAATCGTTAATCAAAATTTGCCCGTCATCTTACAATTTTGCCGAATAAATGTTCTTCAAATTTATGAGTGTTTTGGAAAAACACGTAGTGTGGTTGATTAATAATTAATCAGTCCTGTCTTCTACGTCAAGGAGACAAAATCAATCAATTATCTTTTAACCGCTAATAGTCAAACTCTTTCGAAGTATAAACATAAACAATCGAAGTTAAGCGTGTACGAGAAATTGAGAATATCTACTTTTTCCGTTGGTTATCTTCCCCTTGGAATTGGCACTTTTACGGGGGTGCGGGGGTGTCAATTATAGGTTTTTAACAATCTATAGAGGAACTTGTAGGACTATATTTTCACGGCGAAGGAAGTTCTGTCTATTTTTTTACAGTGTAGAAAGAGTCACGTCAAAAACTGGCGATTATGAAAATAACTTAACAACCAAATAATTTTTGGGTTAGACAACGTTTTCTGATTTTAATACAAATTTGCTTGACACAGATTATGAACAAAAACAAAATAACGGACTGTTACATCCGCAAATTATTTGCTAACAAGAACGAATAATAGAGCCCGCCCACCCACCCCGCCTCCATTTCAGTCAATTTTATTTGCTCTGAATGAAAGGTGGTACTTATACTGAACAAGAATAAAGTTTTTCGTTAGAATGAGAAGAGGGTGGGCGGGCGGGGTTAGGACTTGCTAAAATAGGACTGATTTTGGCAGATATTATAATAGCAAATGACATAATTTCTAAAAATAGAGATGTTTCATTTGAAAAACACCCCGTATACATACATTGTTTAATGTGTTACACTATAGTGAGGCAAAGTGACTAAAAAATAGTGTGCAAAATGTAATCCTGCATTTTTAAAGACGACAATTTTTTTCTAGAAAAAACAAATATGTTGAAAACTTTTGACCAAAAAAATATGTGTTTTATTTGTCTAGAGATTGTAATAAGGGCGAAAAAACTAAACCAGTTACGTAAAATACAGCTACATTAAAATAATTTACAAATGTTTTAGAGCAGACGAAACCAGTTATACAATCCTGTAACGGACACCCCCCAATAACGGACACAGACAGTCAAACTGGAGTTATTTTCTTCGTAAAAATTATCTCTTCACAACGGACAAGTAAAGCGGTCCCGAGTTTAGACCGAACAATAAAATTTAAAGATTAAGCCAACAGATTGTCGGTACCAGGTCATAACTTTCTTCAATTATTTGCACATTATAAGGACATTTTAAGCAACGCAACGATGTGAGAATTTATTATTGACATGTCAGTCACCTGAGTTTTGAACGATCGATTCCGCCAATCACACATCAAGTGTCAACTTCTACATTCCGTTTTTTCGTAAAGTTGTCCAAAGAGAAAAACTTTTTTTCTGTTTAAACGGCTTATAATGTAGCTGACAAGATCTTGCAGAGCTCAAATACCAAAACATTTATAAAGTAAAACAACACGTTTATGTCCCTGTGAAACGATAAATACGAGCAATTTGATAAATGTTTAAATGTTTGTAAAAACAAAAATGCAGATTTTTGAAAAATTGTATGTGTTTATTTGTTGCGTGTAAAAACGTCAAGACAAAAAATAACCATTGGTCACATATTAATATAATGTGCAGCTGTATAACAAAAAGTTTGTCTGTCTTGACATTTTAAATTTTAATAATGTTAATTTCCAGAACAACTTATTCGTAACTTCCAACTTCTTTGTCTGAATTATAACTATAGTTGTATCGTTATTTTTAATTTGGTTAGTTAAACACTTAGTTATGCTTAACAATGTCGTTATGTAATAGATTCTCATAAAAGAACTGTTATCTGTTTAACGTTTTATAATGTTATAATCAGACTTTGGCATCGCGGAAGTGATACTCATTCCCGCCCGATCGCTAGCTCTATATAGGTTGATCATCTTTGATCACTGTAAAATATCAAAATAAAAAACCCCTTTTTGCTACTTTTCGTGATTTTATTAGAATTTCTGCATAAAAGACGTACATATTTTAACAACGTTGTCTTGTAAAGCGCATAAAGTTTACAATAATTAACTAAGTTCAACAACAGTATAAAAATTGCATTGTGCGCTGGAACGCTGGCAGTCACAGAGAATGTTTGCACTTTAACAAAGAGATTAAAGATGAATGCGCACGAAATCACGGTTAGAAATATTCACAACTAAAAACTAGAGTAGCCGACCATTCACTGCTGTGCTGTAAAATCGAAAACTTTTGTCTAGTTTGAAATTGAAAAAATATAATAAAGAAGGAATCGTTTCCTCGGGCAGCATTTTTTGTCGATTGATGTTGAAACAAGGAAAGAGCTAGGGTGGCCTTTTCAAAGTTTCTTATCACTAAAGCCACTAACTGCTGTACTCATTGTGCATTCCTGGCACATTTCTGATGTACCTAAATAGATCTGTGCTTTCATTAAAAGCCAGTATCTCGTTAAGGCATCGATTGGGATTTTTTCCCCTGTGAGTGCGTGGCAGGACGAAACATTAAAGAAATATTAATATCGGACGCAGGTTTATTGTTGTACAAGATTGAGAGTTTGTTTTTAAGTAATTATTAAATTAATGAAAGAAGCGTGCTTTTGCATTTGCACACAACCAACGAATAAAAACTGCGAGCCGCGACAGGTCGTATTTTATAATTAAGTTCTATTGTTTTAATTGAATGTCATGAACAGAAAAATAACTGAAATGAAATAAGGAAATTTACACATTTTTCACTACGTCTATCTTCCGTTACGACAAATTTCGGGTCACTTTGTGGCTCGAGCACTTCATATTTTTTTCATGTGTGGGTTCTCGCTTATCCGCGTCATCGGCGCCGTCTAAGCCGATAAATTATTAGACAATAGTAATATCTTCTCCGTTTGAATTATTCCATTTGCCTATGAATGCCTGTGCCTTTGTTCCTAAGCGTGACAACATTGACAAGACTTAGTCCGATATTATGCCTCGTACGAACTCGATATTGGGCTAGAAGTGTGTAAATATCACAGTCACATGATGTGCTTCACTGAATTTGTCAACGGAGTCCCTCTTTTATTAATACCATCTATCTGTAAATATGTGTCTAACCTTGTCTAATACCCAGAAAATCAATAACGCGGCGATAATTACCAAGTGCGATGATAAAATTTAAATCTCTTTCATGCTCTAAAAACAATAGTTTAAACTCGCAATAATTATTTTAGAACTAAATTTTAATTAGGAATGTAAAAGCCTACAGTTTCTTTTCCAAGACACTCAACCCTAAAATGTGTCACAGCAACTCATAATTAAAACGAAGTATTTTCCTTTGTTCTTCTACGACATCATCTAAATGCATCATTTCTTTTACGACCAACTAATTTCACAATTTTAAGCAATCTCTATGTTTTGCAATCCGCGATGCCGCCTTCTACTAGCTAAAAATATGCTTTAATCTTTACGCTTTATAGTGTACGTCTGTTCTTTATGTGGTCCACTTTACAAATCCACGTACAAGTTACCCCACTGAATTTTCGCCTCGCTACTACGTACTCCAATGAACTAAATTAAAAACTAAGGTCATTAAAAATGCATTATTCCAACATAATTAAATTAACATTTCCAGGCATTATTTAGCCGGTGATTTATATATTATGTTCTGATCAGACGAACAAAATTAGAAAGCACAGCTGCAGCTTTATTCTGGAAAGAACAACATAA